AATGTATGGCAAGTCATTAGATGACAAAGCCTATCCTTTCTGAATTCAATGGAAGTTTTATTCCTGAGTTAGTGTAGATTTTTAATACACAAAATTTTCTTCTGCAGAAGCTTCAAAATTAGTGTCACTGATTTCCGGTACTTTACAGTACTCATCAACTATAAAAACTTGCTTTTATGTAAGACATAACCTTGTATGCTGAAGCAAAATGACAGTTCCAGGCACTGCCAAAAAATTTTCTTCACGAGTGTGCTCTTTAACCTTTTTGCCATTTAGATTGTCTTTGTGATTCTCTATCACAAGAGACTTCATGAAACAACCAAGGTGATTTAACAGCTCACTTCTACCAGGAAGTTCAGATCATGCCCTCGTCACCTGGTTCTACCTTTCTGCACTCTGCTGACCCACTGATGATTCAGCTCTGTTCTGTTCCAGCTCCCGTTCAGCTCACCAAGCAAGCAGAAAAGTACTCACTTTTTCTGCTGGTTTATTCTTCTGTTATTTTAGTGCACTGATTTGGCTCACCAAGGGTTAGATGAATGCCAAATCTGTCACAAAGGAGTGACAAATATGCATGGCCAAGAAAAAAAACCAGACCTTTGGAAGCAATGTATTGTCTTTGTTGTCTTATGAAGACTTACTCCTAAGTTACGAGAGACTTGAAACATTTCTAGCATTTGTATGCTCAACTTACCTGATGTCCTGGTTTTGGCTGGGATAGAGTTAAATTTCTTCCTAGTGCTGTGTTTTGGATTTAGTATGAGAGGAATGTTGGTAACACACTGATGTTTTTAGTTGCTAAGTACCCCCTAGTCAAGGACTTTTCAGCTTCTCATGCTCAGCACATGGGAGGGAGCATAGCCAGGACAGCTGGCCCAGCTGGCCAACGGAGTATTCCATACCATGTGATGTCATGCTGAGTATGAATGATAGGCGTGTTCCAGGAAGTAGCGATCGTTACTTTGTTATCGGTCAGTGTGGGAGGTGAGCAATTGCATTGTGCATCACTCATTTTGTATATTCTATTATTATTATTATTTTCCCTTCCTTTTCTGTTCTATTAAACTGTCTTTATCTCAACCCTCAAGTTTTCTCACTCTTCCCCTTCCGATTCTCTCCCCATCCCACGGCAGGGGGAGTGAGCGAACGGCTGTGTGGTGTTTGGCTGCCTGCCTGGTTAAACCACGACACCTGAGCACCAGAGATGCACATAATTATCACTTGGTGGCATATCACTTGGTGGCACCTTCTTCTGAAGGAAATCTGTCACCATCTTTTATGTATGTTTTATATCAGTGGTACATGCCTATATCATAAAGAATGCTGAAAACTAAAGAAAAGACTGGAGGTTTCAGAAAGCTATCCTGAAAGTGTTACTGGTTTTAAATTTTTTTTCATACAGCTTAAAGTCCAATGAAGACACAGAACGTCTTTCAATAAACTTTGAATTAAGCCCATGAAACACAGTGATTACTCACATACGCAAAACCCCTATGTATTGCTCAAAATCATACATTGTGACCTCGGACACTAAACTCACAGAGTCTTCTCTGTTGGCCACAATCGTAAAATCTTCTGCAATCTCCATTTGATCTGTATTATTTTTAACTTCCTTAAGCTTCAAGACTCTACAAAAGAAATGAAAATTACAAAATAAGTCAGGTATTCTAATCCACCTACAACACTTCTATATTTATAATTTTAAAAAATCATATTAAAACATCAGAAATAACTGAAATTGAAATAAATTATTCTTGTAATTTATATTTATCAGTGAAATTTTAACACCGTGGTGCTTGAACATTTTTCATATCAAAATCTAGTATTGCCTGCCAGTGCCCACATTCATCATGTAGAAATCTGCAGATGTTTCTACCAGAACTTGTGATTCTAACAAATTAATAAATTTTACAGTTTCTAGGGCTTGATGAGTGTTTTGGCCTACAAATTGTCAAACTACTGAATTTATGCAGTTATTCAACTTTTCCTCTAAGGAAAATAAGATTTGAGAAAAAAAGGCTCATACTTTATCAAATTTGGTCCCACGTGGATTATTCTACCTGACATGTCTGGATGGAAATATATCCAATCAGGTTCCAGTGAACAGCATTTCATATCCTGTATGCCATTTTTTGCCTGAAGAAGGAAGGGAAAGCTTAGAATATTAGTATTTTGAAAGTCTCACAGATCTAATTAAAGAGGAAATACTGAGCTCCTCTCCACATACCTCTAAAGGTTTTTAAGTATTGCTCCTAATCATGACCAGAAAGGATGGCAGTGGAACAATAATAATAATTAAAAAAAGACTCAGTTCCAATTCTCAAGATATTCCATGGAACAGTTTCAACTTTTTAAATATGCAATAAGCAATGCCCTTGTACCACAGCTATACATGGTCCTACCTCTCCTGAAACTAAGCAAAAAGAAGATTTAGCCTACACTCTGCAAACACTTCAACAATTCCAGCAATTTGAGTGTCAAAGACATGAGATGTGTCAAGACGTGAGAAAAGCATTAGCACAAACTTTAACTTGAGCTTCAGACCTTAGGCTTAGCCTCTTCTGTGCAAATATTTGTGGAGCATGTAAGCCTGGGATGGCTTGTGATTTCAGCTGCAAGCTGGTCAAAATCTTGGGATTTTGGCAGTGGCTTTTTGTTGTTAAATTTAGCTGACCCTGATCATTCAAATTTTCAAATGTATGAACCCACATAGAAAAAACTAGGTGAGAAAGGATTGTACAAGTTCCTTTGAATCAAAATTGATCTTCAGCTATGGTTGTGAAAGATCTGTTTTGAAAATAAGAGATAGGAGGGGGATCATTGATTTGATCAGGCTACTAAAAGAGATGAGGATATTTACAGATGAGAAGTTTTTTAGTGAAGAATCCTGAACTAACAGGTCTAGAAGCTGCTTGTATTATAGAAGTATCTTCAGGTCAAATCCAGATCCAAAATAAAAGCTGAGATGGAGAGTTCACGCAAAAGAATATAGGATGAATAGTACATAAACAAAAATAATTAGGAATGCTGGATTAAACTGAGTAATAAAATCTTTCTAGGGAGAAAGAGGGGTTAAACTGAGGGAGAGAGAGAGAAGGTACAAATCAGGGATAAACTACAAACATTAAGAAAACTTATTCTGCAATTTCTTAAAACTTAAAATGTTTCTTTAGTCATGCCATTTGGTAGGCTGACTAGTCAGAAGTGCATTAAGATGTTACCATGCAATCAATCAAGTAATGAGACTCTGCTTGAGCCTTAACTTTTAAGCCAAGAATACAGTGCTGTGTAGCACTGACAGTGCTACGATTATATTGGAATGAAGGAAATATCAGAAGCAGTACTAATTCAAAAGAAAACTTTTTACACATGACTCCACTGGATAGCAGATGTAACACTGTGGGTGATCCCTGTGAGAGCATCATACTGGAAAACAAAGGTATTGTTACCTCGAGCACTACTATTCAGAAGAAGAGATGAAGGCAAACGTGATACACATTCATTTCAGAGAAGCTGCTATCTGAATATATTACCAAAGCATTGTCTTTCAGAGAACAAATATGGAAGACTCCTTTATGTTTTTTCTTGTTAGGTGTGATGATATAATGCCAAGGGTAACCTCCAATTTGAAATGCATTCTCCAGAGAAGATGCTTCAAATAGCAAAGGTGGGGTATCTGCAAATATTCGGTAATGTTAACAGCATTAGTAGCAGAACAATCATAATTCCATTGATCCTTACAATTCTAAATTCCAATAAAGCTATTAATTCTTCAGAACTTTTGAAGATTGGTGGAAATACATTGGCTGTGATCTTTTTCCTAGCACCAGCTAAGCTACCTCATCTAGCATTGATACCTTTGACTTACTTCATTCCAAATGAGCTGAAAAAGCAAAGACGTAGCAAACAATTAAAATTAATCCAGCTCATCTGAATGAGAGAAGACGTACAAATGAACAGATCAAAGAGCATATCAAAAGGGTCACTATTCTTTAGTGAATAGTGATAAATAGCTGGAAACAGGCTAACAGCAGCAATTTCAAGTAATAGAATTAAATGCAGAAAGATACCTGAATCTGAATATTCCTTCTCCTTTTGTGTAATACAACAAAATAGTCTGGACCACAATGAATGCAATCTGTAGCCGAGTTCATAAAAATCAATAAAAATCTAGGAATTTTTATAATTAATGGCAAAAGGTATCTAGCTTTCCCTTCAGTTCAGTTGGGATAAATTATACAGATGTAATATGTCATTCTTACAAGTCTTCTGTGTACTAAATGAGAGAAGCATCTTTGAACAAAATGCACTGCACGGAGCTTTACAACTTCTACCAACTAGCTAAACAAAAGCAATTTCTACAGCTGCTATAACTGAATCAATTTTAGACTGAAGATCAGCTCTTTCTAACAGTACAGAGAAGTGCTGGGGAAAAAAAATGGACAAAATGTGGAGAAAATCTGCAATTACAAGGGGCATTTAAACAGGCAGATTTGTTGAATTACTGTGAGGAGAACAAGGTTCTTATCCGGACTTATGTGTCCCAAAGGTCTCATCCAAATTTTGACTTGTTCTTGTCCTGCTTAGTCTAGATAATTATCCAGATCCCAGCCAACGGTGCTAAGATGTCACATGACATCAGAAATTACATTTACATAGGGCTTCTCTCTTTTTCCTTCATTCATGTTTCCAAGAACTTAGCCATTTAGATTGAAAGGGATTAATTCACTGCCCATGGAAATGAAGTCTTTCCTAAGCTGGAAAGTGGCTGTCTTCTAGTTGTCTTTTAGACTAACACATAGTAAATGGGAGATTCTGTGCAAGATATAACAAAGTATAGGTTATTTTTATAACCAAGGCATCTGCTGAAAATGCAGAGAATGTTAAAGATGAAGGCATAAGCAGAGGACCTACTGATACTAAAAGCTAGCAGAAAATGAAAAATGAGTCAAGAAAATTTGTTAACATTTTACCCTATCAACTTTTTCTGTTTAAATAAAGCATATATAGCAAGGCCCCTCAAAAGTTCTGGTAGATGGACTAAATGATAGATTTAAATGTGTTTCAGTAATATATCAATCCTAAGCAGTACAGGCTGCTGATAAAATATGCCTTTCTTTTTACGTTTATTTGGCAAAGATTTGCAAGATCATAGCCACCTAAATCACTGTGACAGCGTGACTGCTGCCTCAGCTCCCCCCTCCTGCTATGTGTCACTTGCTCTTGTTGCTCAGCACCTCCTGTTCTCATTGTTTTTAAGTTCTTTCAAAAAAATGCCAGTTTCTAATCTCCAGTTGAGCGTCTTTGTTCACTTCCTTAAAACTCTCCAGCCTCATCTAAACATAAAACCATAAGGTTGTTCCTGGCAGCACTAGCAAGTATTTGTTCTAAATGTAAAAAAAATCTGAGCAAAGTATCTTCCTCTCTGTTTTTTTATGAAATTACTGTATCCTCTAATAATAAATCTAACTACAGTTTTAATTCTGGACCTTTCAGAAAGTGACATAATGAAGATTTATAGGTACCTTTTCCATTCCTTCCACTGTGACCAAAATAAAATTCCTTACCAGTCAGTAGTTGTGGTAGTGACATGGTAGGTACATGGTGGCCTATAAGTTTTGATCTCTATACACTTCCTCTTGGGTACCTAACACACCATAAAACCAGCACCGTAATAACTGTCATCCCTTCAGGCAACTTCTGTAGGGAGGCTAGGACTAAATAAGCAGGAAAATTACACATAGATAAATTATAGTAAACACAAGCTTAAGCTCTGAAACTGTTAAAATCTCGCCCACTGAAGCATTACATCACATTGAACAGTCAGTCGGCCATCTCATTCTTAAGAGAAAACAGCTCAAAAACCACAGGAATGCAACTATCTGCAAAGAGCAGCCATGGCAATGTCTGTCATGAGTTCAAAACTTCCTAACCACAAATTCTTGAATACTATTCAAGATCAAAAATGTTTTCTTCAGTACATTGGTTTTAAATCTCAAACCTAAAAACTACAATGATCTATAAGACATGAGAACAAATCTGGTATAGGCTTCCTACTAAAGCTCCCACAGCGTGTTTTCCACAGGGCCCCTAACATTAAATTATGGTTTTGCAGACTGAGACAGAGAGAAAAATGAGGAGAAATTTCCCTTTGCAGAACCTGAGACATCAATTATAGCAGCCTATCACTTTTTTTTGATAAAATATTGCATTGTAACTGAAAGCCTTCACTATGTCTGTATTTTATCTTTATGTATTTCCTCAGGTTTATGTAAATCTGCTTTGGTTTGCGTGTTATTATCTGATACTGTTTGCGAACATAAAGATCAAAAGCATTTTTTATGCGGACAGTCACCTGTAAAAACCATTTAATATAGAAACATTCAAAATTAAAGAAATAAAAGCATGCACTATTTGATATTGGTGAAACCTACTTTTTTTTTTTTTGGAAGGGCCTCAAGTGTGAGCTTGTGAGAATGTATTTTTAAAGTAAAAAAAAAAGTTTCAAAGAAAGTCTCAGGCTTTGGTCATTCATTAAGATTCTTAGCACCGAATTCTAATCTCAAATGCACCAACAGAAATGATTGATTGGTTTCAGAGAAATTAAAGTCATTACGTAAAGCAGAACATTCATAAGTTAATGATTTGAGGCATAAGAATTGTTTTTAATAGATAATTTGTTCTCTCCCCAGGAATTAATTTTATTGAAACTGGCAGATTTCTGACAACTTAAGAATTATCAAAATGCAACTCGGACAAATTGTATTCTGTCTCCTTGAATTCCCTCTGCAAGTTAGATTAAACGTTCGCACATCTTTTGCTTACATACCATATACTGTTTCTGGGTGTTACTAACAGCTCTCCTAGCCCTTCCTCTTTCTCAAGAGCAGTTGTGTCTCAGAAATAAGGAAGGGGTTCCCACTTCATGCATTGCATATGAAGTTTTTCAAATAGCTTAGTTGCTGTACTAGTTTTCTAGGTAAGTCCTATGTAATTAATTCTTGTAATTAGAAGTGAAGCAAAGCACATTTTTACTATAACATAAACCCAGAAATATAGTTACAGCACAATATAAGTACAGTAATTTTAATGTTTTTTCTTGGTGTGAAATAAGTCATAATTAATCCACAAAAGCCAACAGCCAAGATAATACAAAGATCATAAATACCTGTTATTTTAATGTTACATGGAAGACCAAATGGATACTTTCCTACAACTCCCACTTGACCATTCCAGTTGAATTCATGTCCCAAATCAAACGGCTGTTCCATGAACTAAAATAACACAGAACAATTTAGCTTTATTGATGCGTATTTACTTGCTGTTTAGTTTTACTGCTCTGTTACTACTGCATTCTTTGTTAGATACGGCTTGAAGTCTTATTTTGAATTAACGTTTGATTTTTGATTGGAAGAACATAAACTCAAAAGACTCACTGCAGTTCTGTTTCAGATCAAACAATCTTCCATGCCCATCAGTTTCTAGCCTTAACACTTATCTATAACTACAGACTAGGTGTGTAAAGAAGAGCACACCCTGGCCTAGCATTTACATAGCTCCTCTCTATACGAGCTTAAGTGCCTGTCTGACCCTGTAATCTCTTATGTTTTGCCACCTGTAACCGGTGCAGGCAGAATTTTCTGATAGTGTAACCATTTGTGTCTTCTGACTGTAAATAGATTTAGGCAAGAACTCTATCCTTTGACACAGTCCCCACGTATCTATGTGGCATTACATGAATATTTATGATTTGTTGCCCCAAAATAGCATGGACTGGTTGAAAAATTTCGTATTTCATTACCTGTTCAGCGATGGCCTGGAAGTTATAGAGCCTGACCAGACCCACGCTATACATTACAATCAGGATTCCATTAGAAACAGCAACATCTGTCACACTATTACCAAATATCTGGGAAAAAAAGGAGAAGAAGAGTATTTTATTAGGGAAGAAGTAATTGAGAGACAATGAAAAGTACTGACATTATGTCCTTAATTTTGCAATCGCTTGAATTTTTTATTCTTGCCTAAACCCTCCGACCAGTGTTTTAGTCCATGAAGTTTTCTGTACTCATCTGTTCTGCTGAGTTTCTATAATACTTTGCACTGCAGTAACACCTGAGGTTAATTAGTCATATTGTGCAAGCAGATTAATTCTCTAACCAATTCTCAGTATACCTTCGTATCATGTTACCCAGTTATTATAATACATGAATAGATTATATTACCCAGCATTCCACAGGAATGTTAGCAAAGCTACCAACTCAATCTAAAAGTACTGATTTCTGTTCTTTCTTCATCACCAGGGTAAAATACTAGTCTAATCGTGGCTCTGTGACTGTGTACAGCTGTACTAAAACTACATTATTCAGCTGTCACAGAATACAGGATCCTCTCTGAATCCAAATTAGACACATACATGAGAACCTGACTTACCCCTTTTAACAATTATGCAGTATTCATTTGTGCCAGCGCTTAACAGATCTCCACTGAGAAAAACCCAACAAACTAATTCTTAGTATTTAATGAATAACAACACGTGAAGTTCGTAATTTTTTTTTTAATAGAGATGCTTGGAAATGTAGTTTTCATTTCTTTAATCTGAATCACTATGTGGAAAAGCAATTAAAACAAGGTTAAAGCAGGCTTAAAAACCATTTAAAAAAAAAAAAAAAAAAAAAAGAAACCCAAAAGCTGTAATACTCTTAAGTCTTAAAACTATCAATGATCTTGTGATCATTTTGGTCCTGAAAGGTACATTCACTCTTCAATGTACCTTCACTCACCTTGCCTCTTTATTTAGTCTTATGGCTCTTTCTCAATACATTTGTTAGCTGAGGTCTTCCAGACCCAAACTCTAATAGTCTTCCAACCCTAAAATCTCCTTTCTATCCTTGAGACCTTAGCTATTTGAACTCAGAATTTATTATTGGGTACCATCTTAGTAAAGCTGATGCATTAGAATGCTGACTGCATTCTGCAGTCTTGAACAGTAACCCTAATCCTAACTTTAATCTAACAGTTACATTCCACTTATCTGTATCAGGTTTGGCATTGCATTCACTGGTTGCTTCCTCTGCTGGGTGTATTCTCAAATCCCAAATTCTGCCCTGACTGTATTACTAGCTGTAACAATTACTTTGATGAGTGCTCAGTACAGGCCCAACTAAAGAAGTACTCTTTTAGACGTTTTGCCTACTATGACCATGATGAATCTGGCATGCCATTCTTAACCAGATTGAGAATAGCTTTGACACTGGAAACAACTATTTTTTCCAGTCCTAAATACTAATTTTGAACAGAACAATGCACAGTGGCCCTAAACTTTCAGGGGCCCAAATGAAAAATGTTTAACCCCACTCCTTCACTTGCCAGCACAATCTCAATTACAGCCTCAACCCAACCCAGCACCCACTCGTAGCTCTGGACCCCAAATGAGACTGTAGCTCACAGAGCTCTGAGGACAGAGTTTGCATGTTTGTACTGTTCCGTTTATAAGTTATCTCCAGAGCACTCTTGACTTAAAATAGACATGTTTTTTCACCAGAACAGTATTGCCATCTCACCTGAAGTTTCCTAACATATACACTCTTACTTACAGGTCACAAACCGACCTCAGAAAGGTTGTTTGCTCTTGACTGATAAAGCAAGACACATATTTACATTTTGCCATTCAATATCAATGACAATACAAGTTTGAAACATTTGTAACTGCATATAGAATTTATAGACTATTACTAGGAGTGGGTCAGAAGCACATCTATCTTTCTTTAAAGAGGTGAAAAAAAGTCTGCAAACACTTTAGGATTCCCTAATTCTTATGACTGCTGTAAGTAAAGGCTAAAGTCCTTCTACATGTCAAAGAGTAACCCAATAGCAGAATGCATTTGTGTTTTCTCTTCTGGTCATTCAAATTAAGAATCTTCCCCCCAATGCCCCTATCAGACACAAGAACATTACTGCTAATTCATGTTTCAGGGCACTATGCTTTCATAAGCTGTAAGTACGACTTCTGAAATTCTGGGACAATTGCCTAAACCATGCCTCTCATACAACTACAGTACAGATCACGATTCATAGAGGAATTAACTCACCTTTTTGTTTATTTCTAGCATTCCAATGAATGAAAGAGGCAAAACTTGGAATACAGCAAGATAGAACAATACAGACTGTTGGATACCTGCCTGGGAAGGATAACAATACTGAATATAGTTATAACATTTGAGGCATTTATTAATGGTAGTACATCTTTATCTTCTACCATAATAACAAACCATAATGTCTCCATCTCTGTCCTTGTAAATTTTTTTGATGGATTTTGTAAAAATTTAAGAATGACAGATTTTTTCAACAAACCTACCTGTCGTGCTGCTGCAGGGAGCTTATTCTGAGCTGACTTTACAACCATTACCTCTTGAGGAGTATCCCAGCTCAGATACCTATTTGTGACAAGAAAGGCCTATCTTAATCATTTAAAAATCATTTAATAATAAATACATTATTTCATATAAAATATAATCTACTACAACTAGGCAGATCCCTGTGTCCAGGCAAACTGTTCAGTATCTGATTTGGGAGAAGTGCTTGAGATGTTTGCTGTTTGCAATAACGCAAAACCCATGGAATTAGGAATGGCTTATTCCATAAAGGATTGTGAGAAAAATTCTGAAAGTGTGAACATTCACTATCTTCATTTTTCTCCTTCCCTTCAAAAATCACTGCTTTCTTATCCTTCGGCTTAAAGGAAATAATTTCTTCTGAGAACTGAAAAGAAGATGCAGTTTACCAGAAGCAGTAACTGCTCTGCTTTTAAAGAGCAAAACGGCTACCCTATGGAGCAGAATGCTTGCAAGTTAAAAATGGCTTAAACTTTAAACATATTTTCCTTACGTTTTATGAAGCTTGTTTTACACCTTTTAAAGGTCCTGTCCTGGTATGTTGTTATTGCAACATTAAAGGTTGTAAAATTGCCAGAGAAAAGCCAACAGTAGCCTAGTTTTTTGTGGCTTTTGCAGAATTTGATACCAAATTTGAGTCCATAATACTTGAGATGCTGAAATTCTTCTATAGGAAACAGCATGCAGAAACAGTACTTCAGGTCATATGCTAGACTAACAAATCTGAAGTCAGCCATAGGATAGTACTAAAATAAACATGATTCCCTTTCTCCAGTATAGTACTAATGATTGTTAATTATATAAAGCCTAGTCAGTGTTTAATACCTGAATTTGCAACAGGAACCGGCAAGGTATACTTTTTCCAGTATTTCTCCACTATCAGCAGAGAGACGTAGAAGCCAGTTCTGCACTGTCAAGACTATCAGGGAAGATTTATAGTCTGATGGACTTGGCAGCATTTCCCCCTACATAACAAAAGGTTATCAGAAAAAAGTTTGTACCAGGAGGATACGTAACATTTTGACACAGTAACAAGAAAACAAAAGTTAATATGCATTCCTCAAAAACTAAAGGTGGAAAGCTGCCTGCTTATCACATCAGGATCTCTAAGCTCATGCCTGTGCTAAACAGTCAGCTATCACATAAATAATCTGTTGTCACACTTTTTGCAAGGCAGTTACCTTTTCTAGAAATGACACCTTTTAAAACTTCTTTGCCTTGCACAAATGAAGTATAACTGCTTATTGATCTAATTGATACCAGTCTTGAAGAGACAATTGTTTAAGTATTGCAGAATAAGACCTTCAGTGGTAACTCAACAGTAACTGCTAAGAATGGTATTCACACTGCTTTATTTTTAGGCACCTCAAGGATGGGATCCTAAACTCTGTGGATAGTGGATGAGAGAAAAACTCCTCAAGGAGGAGGGAAATTATACAGTCTATTAGGTAGAAACAGCAGAACAACTTTTGGGCAGAGTTGCTTTAATGGGTCTTCAGTTTATCTGCTTTTTTTTTTTATGTCAACAGATCTGGTAAAAACTAAAACTCCCACCTACTGCCCTTGCTAATTAAAAAAAAAAAAGAAAAAAATTAAAGAGAATTTATGTTGTAAGGAATTAGAGTTAGTTGCATAAGCATCAAGGCACCGTTTTTAAAATCTTCCATGAAAGCTCACAAAAAAGCATTTGAATGCGCTACTGAGAAATTCAGAGAAGTATACCTCTAAGCATTCAGTCAAAATAAATAAGCACGTTGCAAACCTTAAATGACCTAACTCCATAAAAACACTGACAAAATAGTTCATGGGGAAAGAACACTCTATCCTAAATATGTTTCACTGAAAGGTATTAATTTGGTTTTTTGCACAACAATGCTCTATTAAAAAGTAATCTTACCAGTGGGCATTCCAATAATAAAGCATCTTCTATTTTTTCTGACTTAGAACACTTTGGCTTTTGATAAAGTATTCTTGGCTCTTGTGCAATGCTGGAGGAAAATGATTGCTAATCATTAGTCTACTTTTAAACTACTGTCTATCAACAAGTCATTTCATACAGTTTTATAAATCCTGCCTTCTCTTTAGGCAGAAATCTAAACATCTTATTTTTACTTTGTAAATATAACCTGAAATTGCTCTCAAAATAAGGCCTAATAAACAATAGTTAGTATAACGTAATATTTAAAAGCTAACCTTCTCTATATTTTGTGGTTTGGTGGTGTGGGGTTTATTTTGTTTTTAAATAACAAACTTAATAGTAACATTCTTACTTTAGTGATATACATTAAAAAGAAAGCATATTCCAGAAACTAATGATCATCCTGGGACCTTCCCCTCAAGCTCTTCCAGTGTTGCCTTTCATAATATAAAGGCGTGGCATCATGAACAGATATTTAAAAAAAAAACCCTACTACTAGAATAAAAACTTCGCAGTGTGCACAGTTTTCCCCTTAGAGAGAGGATGAGACAAAGATAAACCTCAAAGATGCTGGACAGGTTAACCCAGTACTGGAAAGCATTCAGACAATGTAAGAATAAAACACGACTAAGTAGATTTAGATCTCTGCTGTAAGTGATAGATTAATTTAATTAGCTCTCAGTGGTTTACACTGACAGAGTAGTTTGTCTTTTATGTGTCATCTGACACTGTCTCAAAACTGTTCTGACCACAACTTACTCAGCAACGCAGTTGTCCAGGTCCCTGCTACCTCCCTCACAAGAGGGATGGGCAAGGACAAGGACTGGTGTATGCAGGACTTCCCATCCTCTACTCTGCCCTGTGCTGCTTCCTAAGCTGTGCCTCTGCAGCTGATCACGGAACAGGAGAGTACACCAGATCAGAGGACTGATCTACAAAATACATTAACAAAAACCTGCAAGTACTCTGCACACTGTACTTCTACATGAAAAATAATTTACTTCTTTAATGCAGAATTTATAGACATAAGCTTATTACATAGGTTGAGGTTGATTTTGTGACACATTCTTTAGCACACTGCTAGTTACCAGATCACAAAGAACTACCGTTCATTTGGCTTTTCCGTGCAAAATTATAAAATGCTGATAATCTTCCACTCCTGTTAAAGTGCTCTGAAAGCTGAACTTACATAGTAAAATCAGACTTTCCTTCACCAAAGCAGGTGTCATATTAAGACACAATGGCATCTGAGTGTAATTTAAAAAAGATTTATGCACCTGGTTATTTTTTGTTCGTAAGTAAATTCCACTCAATTCAGAGAGGCTATTTGGACGAGTAAAGTTAGCGACATGTCTAAAACAGAATCACAATGTTTAAACTGTAAGCCAGGGTAACTTTTAATTGTAAATTTATTACCTGCTAATACAGCACTGGTAATTGTCTAAGTAAATTCTTCCTCTTTCATAGGCAATAGGAGATGTAGAATGAGTTGTCCAAACGTTCTTGAATTTAGTACTTCCCTGAAACAGACAGTGGTTGTAACAGTGATGGCTTTTGTAACAAACCTTGCTTTTGGAAAATATTTTATTTGGCTCCTGCAGCTTAATAACTTACTTTAATTGAACCTTTGCTGTTGAACACATAAAGAAAAATCTTACTTTTTTTTTTTTTTTAAACCAAATTAAAACACCTTTTTTAGGGAAATTTTATCTTTTTTTAAACCAAATTAAAAGATCTTTTTATTAGCTATTATAGACAGCATGGGTAATAAATATTTTGTCATTAACTTGCCTGCATTAAAATTAAAACTGGCAACTAAACTTTAATGGCAATTTTTAAAATCAAGGACAAAACTCCCCAGAGTGTAAATATGCACATAACTCTTTTATATGTAATTTATATGAATTTACTGAACATCTCACTCCATTTTGCTGTTGGTGTTTTGTGTAAAAAGTAGAAAAATGTGTATAGTTATTTGCAAAAAGTGCCCAAAATGTTAATGGGATAAACTGCTCACATAAAGTTTCTTGCGTGCATTACAGACATCAGGAGCTCTGTACCATTAACAAAGGTTCCAGTACGTATTTGTGCAAGTCAGATGCAGTCATTTTTATTTCAATAAACCTTGCCTGCCCATTGATCTAGTTGCATAAGTGGACACTTTAGCTGACTTCCAATAAAAATATTTTCAATGTAACACAACTGCCAATGCACTTCCACATATTCACTTTCAATGCATTTCTATCAACTACTGCATGGGAGCAGTAATCATTTTCATAAAAAAATCAAGTTCACTTTATTCTGTAATTGGTTTAATTCTTATTTTTTCCATAACACAAATTTCACTGACACATTAGAGGTACGTTTAGCTGAAGACCTCTGCTGATTATCTTATTTTGTTGTGAGAACTTCCTTCAAATTTAACACTGATGCTCCCTAAAACACTATGAATTTAATATTAGTATAAATATTAAGTCATCTTAAGGGAAGAAATAAGTGATATAAAATCTCATAAAAGGCTGTTTCTAACATGATTATTAGATTTACAAGTGCTTCTGCAGTTTCTCCACAGCATAGTCCTCTCTACATTTCTAGGTCTGAGCCTCATGAAATAAATTTAACCATTTATAACTCTCTTCAGCGAAACTGCAGCTTTTTTCTCCCCAGCCTTGTCAGTCAGCGTGGCCAGGGACTTCTCACGCACCTGGGTTGAGGACTGACGCTCAGGCCACCCCGGCTGAAAGCCAGTAGGTGCAGGGGTTCAGCCAGCGCCGGAAAGCATCGCTATTACCTGACACATTATCTTTCTGAGGAGTCCCAGGTTTTTCCTGTGGGCGACACCAGCATCTCTGGCATAAAAGCCTTGGGCCCTGCGGGACAGGAGGCGGCAGACGCTGTGAGCCCCGGGCGCCCGGGAGGCA